CGCTCTGCAGCAGCGAGGCCAGCGCGAAGCGCAGCAGGCTCGGCGTGCCCGGGCGCGCCACGCAGCAGGCGGCCTGGCGCGCGCGCCCCGCGCTGTCCACGCACAGCACCGCCAGCAGGTCCAGCGCGCCCTGCAGCCCGGGCAGCCGGTCCACCAGGAGGATGCGCGGGAAGCGCCGCAGCAGCGCCCGGGTGCGCGACGTCAGGAAGAACACGGTCTCCACCACCGCCTGGTCCTCCACGAACACCAGCTTCACCTGCGGGCGGGGCGGGGAGGCAGGGAAAGCGGTCAGGGATCGCCCGGGGGGGGGGCGCGGGGGGCAGGGAGCCCGGCGGCCCCCGGAGCTCGGTGTCCCCGACGGGGAAATGGGAATTCATTCATTCCCGCGTGCAGGCATTTCTTCCTCCGACCGGCAGGCGGCGGTGCAGGGGGGGGGGGATGGTGTAAAAACGCGACCTCTGGAGGCGGCCTGCCCGGGCTCGAGGTCCGGCACCGCCCTCTAATAGCTGTGGGGTTTCTGCCCACGGGCCGGCCTCTCTGAGCCTCAGTGTACCTACTCGGGGCTGGGTATTCATTCCTTCCTGCGCTGAGAGGCAGGCTGGGGCGAAGGTTCTCAAAGTGTAGGGCTGGGAGCAGCGGCGCCCGCTGGGACCTTGACCGAAACGCACATTCTTAGGCCCACCCCAGACCTGCTGAGTCAGAAACTCTGAGGGCCCCACCATCCGTGTTTGACAAGCCCTCCAGGGGATCCCCACGCGCGCTCCGGGTTGAGAGCCACCGGTCTATCTAGCAATAAAGCCGTAGGCTGCGCAGAAAGATCGCCTGGTTTTGAGTCCCGGCCCCATCACTTTCTAACCTTGTGACGTAACCTCTCCGAGCCTCAGTTTCCTTCTTAACCTCGTCGTTCCCCCCATTTCCGCGTCTGGGAACTGCAGACGCGTTCCTTCGTGCTCAGGGGGGCAGGTCCAGCGTGGGGTCTAGAGCCCGCGCAAGGCTGAGACCCTGGGGCCCCCACTTCCTGGCTGTGTGTGGCTCCCGGTCACTTCCCCGACCAACACCGCCTTGGAAGAATGTTACGAGATACTCCCCGCGACGGGAAGGATGAAATGAACGGAAGCATTTCGAACACCGCCTGGCACAAATGATACATTCGGCAATAGGCGCTCAAGAAATAGGAAGGGCTCTCCAAGTGTTCGCAGTCGCTACGATTATCGCCCCTGCCCCCAAAACCGTGTCCTCCTAAAGGCCCGCTCCGGCCCTCCCTTCTTAGCAAGTACCCCGGCTCTCTCTAGCCACCGTTGGCCGTGGCACTTAATCACCCCGAAGCACGTCCCATCTCGACTTGCTTGTTGCCCGTTCACCCTTCCGGAGATGGGAGCCCCACGAGGTGAGGGATGCTGTGTTTTGCATTCCTGATACGTTGAATGGCGCCCATGGCATCAGCTTGCTACCTCCCCGGGGGGACGAAGGCACAAAGCGTGCAGCGATATCCACAGGCCACGTCTCTGGAGTTCAGGGAAGAGTCTAATCTTGCATCCTGGCTTCGGCTCTTACTGGTGTGGGACCCTGGGCTGAGTCGCACTTTCCTTGACTGCAAAACTGAGGCGATGTCTATAGAATAGGGTCGTGGAGAGGCCAAAATGAGATCATTTGTGTCCAAGGCTTGATGCGGATCTAATCCCGCTATTGTTTCTGTGTCACTTGATTCACCGCAGCACTCAGAGGACAGGGACGACGCTGCCCCCCTTTCTGGAACACGAATCTCTCTCGGCTTCTGTCACCCTGAAAACTCCTGGCTGTCCTCCTTCTTCCCAGGCGTCTCCTGTTCTGTCTCCTTCGCTTGCCTCGCCCCTCTTCCACTCCCCACTTCTAAATGTTGCTGAGCTCCTGTCCTCTCCTCTGCGCTTTCCCGTCTCTAGGCTCTGCCCAGGCGATCGCCTCTGGTCACCCAGGCTTTTATCATCTCTCAGTTGATAACTCTCAGTTCTGTATCTCCAGGCTCCAGATCCATCCACTGGATTGCCTCTGCAGGAACGTGGCCCCTTGGACATCTCCAGCGCCCTCCAGAGGTGGGCAGCCCCAAGCCATACTCGATGCTCATTGACCACCCCCACCCCCCCATCCCCGCCCCAACCTGCCCCATCTCTGTTTCATTTTCAAAACTTCAGATCAGATCACCCCCCCCCCCCGGCCCGCTTGAAAGCTTTTCCTTCCCCGGGACTCCCCAACCCCCCTCCCCGCCCCCCCCCCCACCCCCAGAGTTCACACCACAGTGTGGGCTGGGCGATCAGACCCTTGGACCTCATCTTCTGGTCCCTCTTGTCCTCCTCGGCCTTCGTCACTCTGGGCATCGTCATCGCACAAAAGCCACTGAATGGGGCAGAGGGTTGACGGTCAGCCTCGTCCTGCAGGTCCCTGTCGGTGCCAACCCCCAGCCGCAAGGCCAGGATCTGAATAACTTAAGCACAGATCTCTCCACAAACTGTTCTGCCATCATCCAACCTCTTCGTACAAGGTGGTTAAAAAGCACTGCATTGTTCTTAGCTTTCAAGGGGAAGGAAAAAATATCCTCTAATTGAAAAAAAAAAAAAAAAGTCTGGTAGAGTCCCAAGGGAACAAAAAAAAAATTTGTCTTCCCGACCCAGAAGCCTTATAGTCAGCATCTTAACCAGTGTTCGAATTCAATAAATGGTATGAAAAGGCGTCGTAATCTTACAGCTGATTAGTTACTATCCCCCTACGATTGTTTTCAACCTATCCTGAGTTTTGACATCATTGCTTGACGATTTATCTCAGCAAATGTTTCAATCTAGAACTGCGCTCTGTCCAACCTGTATAGCCACCTGTAACTATTTGAATTTAAGTGAATTAATATTTGACAACCTATAAAAACTCAGTTCATCAGTCACACTAGACATATTTCACCTTAGGCACACGAGGCTAGTGACTGCTCTCCTGAATGCCGCAGGACATTTGCACCATCATAGAAAGTTGTGTCAGGGGCGCCCAGGGGGCTCAGTCAGTTGAGCGTCCGACTCTTGATTTCGGCTCATGTCACGATCTCACAGGTTCATGAGTTGGATTTCCGCGTCGGGCTCCGCGTTGACAGCTCAGAGCCTGCTTGGGATTCTCTCTCTCCCTCTCTTTCTCTGCCCCTCCCCTGCACTCACTCACTCACTCTCTCTCTCTCAAACTAAATAAAATAAACTTAAAAAAAAAAAAAAAGAAATTCCTGTCAGACAGCGCTGGTGTAGAAATTAATGCAAAGACAAAGTTGTCCTAAGTGGAACGGGTTTAAAAGAGTGATGTGTTTCTATAGTCTTGAGTTCTTGTCCATCTCTCCTCCGGAGTCAGGAGTAACAGAAAAGTAAATAAAGCGAAATGTATTCGCCAAGAGGCTTTCCCAGAGCAGGCAGGCACTTGGCGAGTTTGAACCTGATCTCCATTCTTCAAGGGAAAACTCAGATTTCTGATCCTGGGTTTTGTTTCTAAAGAGGGCACGGAGGCTTTCCTTCCACCCCTGTTTGTTCATCAAATGGCGTTGATGGAGAGTCTACTGTGGGCCCGGCACACGGGCATAAATGAACCCAGGGCGGCTAAGCGTCCCAGACCCTGGAGCCAGGCTGTGGTGCTTCCTCTGACCAGCTGTGCGAGCTGCCGCACCGGCTGTGTGGCTCAGGGCAAGTGTCTGAACTTCTCTGGGCCTCCGCTGCTCACGCCTGCCAAGGTGGGGTGCACCATCACGTGGGCTCATTTGCACGAAGCATGAAGACCAGCGCCTGGTCGCAGATCAGTATGTGCTGAGTGTCGGCTGTTTTTATGGGTCCCCGCGCACGGACAGCGTGCTCAAGAGAAAGGCGGATGGGACTGAGGTTGGTGCGGGGACCTCCGAGTGAGCGAGGGCCACTGCTGAGAGGGGACGATCATTTTCCTTCTATTGAAGAGAGGGCAACCGAGGCAGTGAAGGATCACCTCAACCCGTCTGGGCTGTCTGAGCTCAGCATATTCCAAAGAAAGGTCTGGCTCTTGCCCAGCTGCCGGGAGATAAGAACGTCCTGCCGGATAAGAGTGTCTGGGCGCCTTGGACCACTTCTAGATAGTCTATGCGAAGACGGGAATGATTTATGATGGGGGGGGCCTGAGCCACACAGCATCATCCTGACCTCCAGAGGGGCTGGAGACCCAGGGCGGCCACTCAGGCAGTCAGGCGCGTCTATGTGGCCGAACCCCAGCAAAATCTCTGGACCGGGGCTCGGGGAGGGGGGCTCCTCGGTTGGCAATACTCCAAGCCCGTAACACAATGTTGCTGGCAGAGCCGAACGCCAGGAGAACAAATAGAAACTCACTGTCCTCCCGCCTCCACCCCACGCGCCTTTTTCCCTTTGCCGATTCTTAATCTGTGTCCTTTTCGCTGTAATAAGCTGTAGCTGGGAGCGTAACAGCGTTGCTGAGCTCTGTGAGTCCTCGTGGCAACTGAGGGCGGCCTTAGGGTCCCCAACTACACCGGGGGAGGGGAGTGACTTGCCCAGGGCCACGGAGTTAACAGGTAACGGGGCTGGGGATCCAAGTCCAGATCCCTGAAATTGTTGGGGAAAAAAAAGCAAGGAGCCGAGGGAGACGTGTGGGGGACGCTGCGGAGGGGGGGTGTGTGTGTGTGGCGGCCTTTGCCAAAGGTGGGGGGTGCCTCAGTTTCCCCCAAATATGAGATTCGCTACCAAATATTTACGGAACAAATCTGACGTGCCAAGTGCCAGTGCGGGCACTGAGCGGGGGGGGGGGGGGGGGCCATCAGGACATCTTAAGAGTAGGAGGAGGTGAGGGGCACCTGGGTGGTTCAGTCGGTTGGGCGTCTGACTTCAGCTCAGGTCATGATCTCGCGGTCCGTGGGTTCGAGCCCCCGCGTCGGCACCACACAGGACGGGGGTTTTTCTGTGCCGAGGCCTCACCTCCTCCGATGCTCACACCAGTCCTGTGAAACAGCTGCGATTATTACCACCCCCATTTTCCAGATGGTAAAACTGAGGCACAGAGAGCTCCCGCTGCTTGCCTGGGGTCCCGCAGGCAGTGAGCGGCAGAGCAGGAATTCGCACCCAAGGCGGCTGGGGCCCCGAGTCCCTGTTCCTGCCCACGCTACCCCCTCGGCCTTCACGAAAGCGATCCCACGGGCCTGGTTCAAGGGCGCGCGGCCGACAGGCGTGAGGACTCAGGTGCGGCCAGGGCGTCATCTCAGACACACAAACAGGTAGCACAGGGATGCGGCCGCCGTCGACGGTGGGTTCCACAGACGTGAACCCCAGAAACCGCGGCTCGCGACACCTGCCACCCACACCCCCTTCCTCCGTGTGAGCGCGCGCCCCCTTGTCACACGATCGGAACGGCCCTGGTCTCTAGACTATTCCCGACCTGAGGGAATAAAGATAATGGCTCAATGGCCGAACGTACAGGGCCTCCTGGCTTCCGGGCAGTGTTGTCGCAGGGACGCACACATCCACATGTCCTACGAAGGGGTGTGTGCACTGTTACCCCCGTTCTACGGGTGAACACGCGGAGGCCCCGGGGAGCAAGCCGTTTGCACCACAGGGGATGTCCCACAGCTGGCAAGGTCGGTATGGTACATTGGGACCCTGGCCTATTTTCACTTGTCGCTCTCTCTCTCTCTCTCTCTCTCTCTGTCTCTCACTCTCTGCCTCTCTCAAACATTCACTCTCTCTAAAAATAAAATTAAATTAAGAAGTTTAAAAAGAAAAAAGTCCACAGGGTCCAGAAATCTAATCACATGAAGCTACACAGCCACAGCCTTCTTCCTCTGGTTTTCCACCCACGCCAACCCCCTCGCTGTTCCTGCGCCTGTTCCACCTCCTGGGTGTCTTCTGGAGCTTCTTTCTGTGAACACAAGCCAGCATAGCCATATAGACTCATTCTCTCCCTGCCGCGCACAAAACAGCACGTTACGCACAGTTTTGCACCTTGCTTCGCGGTGTCGTTAACCTCAAAACTGTATCTGAGCGATCTGTTCGGATCGGCTGCCAGAGTCGTTTGCAGCATAAATTCCCACCCGTGGGACAGGGGCCAACGCGGTCGTGTGGACAGACATTGTCCAGTTGTCCTCCACTGTGCCTGTACCGGTTGACCTTTTAGCGTACGTACAAGTAGCACACTCAGATCAACATTCACCTTTCTCAGAAGGCAGGGCATACCTGTGAGAGAAGATGCCACGTTTCTGTTCCAGCTCCCTCTCTGCCCAGAAAGCCAGTTGGCCTGCTGGTTACCCTAGAGCCTGCCAGAAATGAGGTAATGGAGATGTGACGGAACACCTCAGCCCATCATCGCTGCCTTGGGGCAGATCATAAAAGGTCTTAGCACCTCCCCGGATGAAGCGGCTACGGAAGTCTTGCCCACGAACCGTGGCAATGGCTTTTGGGCACACTACTCTTGTCCGGTCCGCTCCCCAGACCACGGCCCAGACCAGCGGGCCACGGCCACTCAGGGGGTCCCAGGCATTTGGCTTTGCAAAGCAATCCCTCCAACAGACAAACAAAACGAAAACAAACCAAAAAAAGTAATCCCTCCCACAGGAGCTGGCTGGGAGGAGCTACAGAAAAGGAAACAGCAGGAACCAAACTCAGGAAGCTGGAAAACAGATGGACAAGCCGATCGCTCCCCACTCCCCGCAAAATAAAGCCCAAACCCCCAACCTCGTGATTCCTGAACCAGCAACTGGAAAATGCTGAGGACCGACAGCAGCATCTTCAAAAGGAATTGGCAGCACGAGGCAGGGTGGGGGGTCAAAAAAGACAAACTGGTGGCCATTTAAGAAGCAGTTAGACCTCTCAAGGTCAAGTTGCCTCTCATCCCCAGGTGGCTGGAGGTTTCTTTTGCGAAGAGCGTAGAACAGAAAGGGTCCCTGGCCTTGCGGACCACAGGGCCATCTGATGGGGGACAGGGCATCCCAAAGCCCTCTTCCCCCGTTTGGTTCCTGGAAGCTGGCAGCCTGACTTTTACCCATCCTCCTCCCTTCACTTTCAAAAAAGAAAGACTTAAAAAAAAAAAAAAAAAAAAATAACCCATTCACTAGTCTGTCTCTTGGTGTTCCAGAACATCTTCCTCATTTTTTTTACAAGTATTAAGGTGGGGGTGCCTGGGTGGCTCAGTGGGTTAGCATCAGACCCCTGGTTTTGGCTCAGGTCACGATCTCGTGGTTCGTGGGTTTGAGCCCTGCATCGGGCTCTCTGCTGTCTGCATGGAGCCCGCTTCAGATCCTCTGTCCCCCACTCTCTCTGCCCTTCCCCTGCTCGTCCTCTCCCTCTCTCTCTCTCTCTCTCTCTCTCAATAAATTTTTAAAAAATAATAACAAATAAGCGTCAAGGCTAAACCACAGACTCGGGAGCCGACCCTGGTTTAGCCGGGGTCTATGGCAGCTTCCAAACTGGAAGTTAAAAGGACAATCCCTTGACCTTGAAGGCTTTCATCTGTCAGTAAGCTGCTTCTCATGGAGGCAGCCCTACACAGCACAGGTGTTTCCAGAAAAGACAGCCGAGGCTGATTTATTTGATGGTGGACCGTGGAGGACAGAACAGCTCGGCAAAGACCAGTGGGGTGGGGAGCGCGTGTGTGCGAAGCCCCATCTGACAGAGCAGCAAACCGACTTGGGCGCGACCCTCAACTCTCCGGAGGCTAGAACCGATGGGAGGGGGCCCGAGCCTCATTTCCAAACTGGGGAGTAGCCGAGCAGCGAAGAGAACATCCCCGCATCTCAGACGGTGTAGGGCTGAAGCCCAGCTCCGTCATTAGGTAGCGGTGTGGCCTCGGGCCACTCGCTTGCCCTCTCGGTGCTTCAGTTTCCTCGTCTGTGAAACAGAGGGAAGAATGGTGAGGTCCTTCCTCCACACGCTCTGGTGAGCTTTCAATGTACAGCCGCTTAGGGTCGTGCTTAGCCCATGGTTCAGTGCCTGACAAATGTTAACTAACGTTAGCACCAGTATTAGGTGTGGGTAGAGCGAGCCCGTGCGCACTCCAGTGCAAGCAGGGGAGGGGAGGAGGGAGGGAGGGAGGGAGGGAGACTCCCTAGCAGGCTCCGCACGGTTGGCGTAGACCCCATCGCGGGGCTTGATCATCACGGCTTGGCTCGTGAGCTTAGGATCAAAGCCGAGATCAAGAGCCAGACGCTTAACTGACTGAGCCACCCAGGTGCCCTGACTTGGGACCTCTTCCCTGCGCAAGAGAGAAGAACAGTCGGGGGCAGTACGTCCTCCCCCCACCCCCCCTCACCCCCTTCGTTCACATCCACCCCAGCTCTGAAAGCAGCAGAAACATTTCTCTTGGACAAACAGCTCGCGCGCTCCAGCCTCTGAACCTTTACACGGGCTGTTCCTTCTGCCCGGAACTCCCCTGCCTCTGCAGATCGAGTGGGGGAGGGGGGGGTCCCCTGCCTCCGTTGTCTCCCCTGTTTCGCCAGCATTTCCTTAGAGAGACCTTCGGTGACCCCTCAAACTAAAACGGCGCCCTTCCAACTAACCGTCCCTCTCCATGTCCTCGCCTGATGCTCCCCGACCCTACTCCTCACTCTGTCACCTCCCTCCGTCACCTTCGGTGAGGAAGCCCCCTCCCTTCCGAGCCTTGATCTGGATGTTTCCACCCTGCGGGCATTCGTCAGACTACGGGCTTCGCGTCTGTGCGTTTTCTACGCGTGTCGTCCAGGTTTGCAAAATGTCTTTTAAAGGGCACTTCCTGCCCTTCCGACTCGTCTTCTTCCTAGCCCCAACCCTACCGACATCTGATCACCTTTGGGTGCGACTCAGGACGCGAGGCGAGGGAATTCTAGCCCGTTCCTCTGCAAGGCAGCCCCAGGGCCAGGCGCGGCTATTTCAATCGCGATTAGTTAAAAAGAAACGAAACTTAAAAGCTCGGTTCCTCGGTCCTACTGGCCCAACAGCCACGCGTGGCCAGGGGCTACCGTTCCGGGCAGTGGAGAATCCCGCGCCCCCGCATTTCCGTGGGGGCAGGGAGCTCTTCTGGCCCAGCGCCTCGCTGGCGGGCCAGGTCCCCGCCGCCGGGGACCACGCGTCTTGCAGGCGGCGGCCTCCCCAGCACCTAGCAATAAGCACCTGGCGAATGACCGGCGCGCAGGAATGGATGAAAGGAGCGAATGGAGGAGTGGGCGGATGGATGAATGAATGACCCGCGAGGCTCCGGCGTGGCTGTCCCCCGCCCCCGGCTGCCTCTCCCGAGACCCCACCTTGGCCTCGGGGTCGGTGCGGAAGAGCCCCTCGAGCACGTGCAGGGCGTCCAGGACGCCGTGGTCGCGGCCCTTGCAGTAGGAGAGCAGGCGGTGCACGTCGGCGGGGGCCACGAACTGCTTGGAGATCTTGTTGGTGGTGCGCACGGGCAGGCAGGCGTTGGCCAGCAGGTGGCCCGGGCGGAAGTAGTAGGCGAACTCGAGCGGGCAGGCCGGGTGCGAGTGGGTCAGCTGGCACTCTGTCACCACGAGGCGGTCCCGCAGCGGGCTCAGCTTGACGATGATGAAGGCCGGGCAGCCGGGCTGGGGGGGCCTGCGGGAGGAACGACCACCGCCGCCGTCACATCACCCTCTGCCCTTGTCCTCCTTCTCTGTCTGTCTCTCTGTCTCCTTTTTTAAATTTTCATTTTATATACTTTTTTTTTCCAATTTATTTTTTGAGAGCGCGAGAGAGAGACAGAGAGCGCGCGCGTGCGCGCGCAAATGGGGGAGGGGCAGAAGGCGAGAATCTTAAGCAGGTTCCACACTCAGCGCAGAGCCCCACGCTGGGCTCCGGCTGGATCTCACAGCCCTGAGATCATGACCTGAGCCGAAATCAAGAGTCGGACACTTCACCCCCCCCCCCCCCCCGGAGCCGCCCAGGCGCCCCTGACTGTTTTCTAAAATTAAGAATTGTTTCCAGCACAGAGAAGAGAGAGGGCCTCACGATTCCAACGGTCGTGTGACCTGGGGCGAGTGGCTTCCAGCCTCTGTGCCTCAGTTTCCTCCTGAGTTGAAAGGGAGAGAATACGCATGGTGCCTTTCTCCTAGGCTTGTTGTCAGGGTTGAAAGAGTTGATGTGTGGAAAGCACTTGGCTTCCCGTGCGCTCAGGGTTTGCCGCGGCTCTTTACCTACCACGGCACCTCGAGAGCGATTCAGCTTATCATCTTTATCTCAATCTTAAGAAAGAAAACACTGCCATTTCCCATTTAGCAGTAACAACATCGCGAGTGCAGGGCCCCTGTGCACCTGCCCTCCCCCAAAAAGGACCCCTCCCTCCTCTGCCCCCCAAAGTAGCCACCTCCCAAAGTGGGTATTTTGCCTTCCTGCCTATGTTTTTAGCTACCCGTAAGCAGCAGGAGGTAGGTTCTTAGGTTCGGAAACTTTGTCTACGTGACGAGGCGCTCAAGCTCACCAGGCATCGAGGGAATGCAAACAGCAACCCCCAAGGACATGCCACTACGCGCTGTCAGAAGGACGAAATAAACGTGGGCCAGGAGGCGGGGCAGGCCCGATTCGTACTTCTAGACCACGGGCGCGTAAAACCCAAGTCACTTGTGGGACACTGCGTGACACGATCTGCTAACGCTGATCACGGATGTGCCCCTCCGGGACCCAGGATTTCCACTCAAGCGTGGGGAAGTAAGCAGGGATATATTCCTCAAACGCAGCACTAACCGACAGTAAGAGGGACCAAATCGTTACCGTCCACGGCAACGTGGATCATCTCCCCAACCCGCCGAGCGAAGGAAGCCTGACGTGAAGGGTGATAAAGCACCACGCGTCCCGTTTATCGCGAGTTCAGGGGCGCCTGGGTGGCTCAGGTGGGTAGGCGTGCGACTCTTGATTTCGGCTCAGGGCGTGATCTCTTAGGTTCGTGAGTTCGAGCCCCACCTCAGGCTTTCTGCTATTAGAGGGGAGCCTGCTTCAGATCCTCGGTCTCCCTCTCTCTCTGCCCCTTCCCCGCTCCTTGTCTCTCTTTCTCTCAGTCTCTCTCTCTCTCTCTTTCAAAAAGTAAACATTAAAAAAAAAAAAAAAAAGAGGGGCGCCTGGGTGGCTCAGTCGGTTAAGCGTCCGACTTCGGCTCAGGTCATGATCTCGCGGTCCGGGAGTTCGAGCCCCGCGTCAGGCTCTGGGCTGACCGCTCAGAGCCTGGAGCCTGTTTCAGATTCTGTGTCTCCCTCTCTCTCTGACCCTCCCCCGTTCATGCTTTGTCTCTCTCTGTCTCAAAAATAAACTTAAAAAAACAAAAAAAAAAAGAAATTTCAAGAGGAAAGCCAGACTGCCGTGGAGCGATCAGAGAGAGGTCACGACCTCGAGTGGTTAACCCTAAGGGGGGGGGGGGAGTGTGAGGGGGTTCTTGGCACTGGACGCGTGTATTCCCTTGTTCTGGGTACTGGTTACATATGCATCTTATTTCCGGGAAATTCACTGAGGTGCATACATACGCTGCGTGTGCTTTTTTAAACGTGTGATGTAATTAAGGGTCTTGCAATGGGGACGTGATCCTGGCTTATCCAGGTGGGTTCTGTGTACTGACAAGGGTCTTTGTAAGGGGAAGAGAGAAGCAAGAGAGGCAAATCAGAGAGAGAGAGAGAGAGCGGGAGAGATGTTTCTCTGCTGGAGGAGTGGCAAACCCAGAAGAGGCTCCAAGCCTAGGAACACAAGTGCATCTAGAAGCTGGAGAGAGGACGCAGCAGATTCTCCCCTGGAACATCCAGCTCTGCGGACACCTTGATTTTTTAGCCCCGGGAGTCCCGTGCTGGACTTGCGCCCCCTCGGAGCTGTAAAATCACAGATTTGCATTGTTTTAAGACCCTCCAGCTTGTGATCATTTGTCACGGCAGCAACAGGAAACTAGCCTGAGCATCACATTCTACATATACTTTTGCAACTTGCTTTCTCGGTGCTTTTCCACCCATCAGTTTTTCAACACTGTATCCTTGGGCTGCCCCACATTCCACTCACAATTCTTCCAGCTCTGCGTTGGGGTGTTTTGTTTGTTTGATTTTTATTTTCATATAAGCTCTACACCCAACATGGGGCTCGAACTCACAACCCCGAGATCGAGAGTCGCACGCTCCAACTGACCGGCCAGGCGCCCCTCTAGTTGTAATTCTAGTTCGTCTCTAGTTCTCTCTTCTTACAAACAACGCTTTGATGACACCCAACTCTCTCACCCGTCTGTGTGTGAAAAGAGCCTGTCTGTCTAGGACAATGGTTCTCAGACTGCAGGGCCTGGCCCCGTAGCTGAAATTGATTTAGGGGGTACAACCAGCATTGTAAAGAATGAAAGAGAAATGGCGGGGCTGGGGAGGGGGGGTGGGGGGACAATCAGGGTGTATTTCCCTGACGATAATACTTAAAACTGACATCTGCTTTTGGAAAGGAGGCTCCGTGTTTCTCCATGAGGGACGCTAGCAGCATTTTTGGCAGGGGGTTTTTATGTTTGCAGACCAGGGACTGGCCGTGCCTTTTCTGCAAAAGGCCAGACAGTAAATATCCTCTATTTGGCGAACACGGCCATAGAGCCCATGTAAATGCATGGGCCTGGCTGGGTTCCAATAAAACTTTATTTATGAAAAAGAGCTGCAGGGTGCACCTGGCCAAGGGCCTTGTAGTCTGTCGACCCCGGTGACACAGGCTGTCCAGGGCTTGGCGAGTCATTACGAAGCCTGACTCCCAAGCAGTTAAATGCCAGGCGCGCTCCCTAAAACGCTCCCAGATTGTTTCCAAGTGGCCCCTGAGAAGGGTGAGGCTCCTCAGCAGCCAGGGTAAATATTTCAGAACTGTCTCCGTTAAACCAGAAGGGGACCCTCGACACGTTCCTTTCCTTCTCTGCGCAGGAGGTCAAAACCCAGGGAGCCTGCTACAGTGTAAAAGTCTGCCAAAGACGCGTGAGACGCTTTGCCTTATTTAAAGTAACAAAAATAACACAAGTTTGGAAAACCTGTAAGCACACAAGTCATTATACACAAGACACAAAAATGTCCAGCCACCACAGTGCTGTCGGGAGGGACTGAAGGAAGTTTCCGACGTGCGGTCATCTTTGATTGACCAAAACGGCCAGTTCGTGGGGCTCTTAACCCGACACGTTTCCCCCTGGATAACTCACGGGCTTTTTGTGAAACTCTCTGGTCTGGCGTCTTGTGGCCTGAGTGTTTCAGCCCCGAGAACAAGCCCCCCCCCCCCCCCCCC